TATTTAGAGGTAAAATGTTGAAAGTAGTTCTGTAAGAGAAGGTCCTTTAAGGTTGGTTGACTTCTGGTGTGGATGTTAGGGCAACTAAGACAGGTTACATTCAACTTCATTACAATTACTCGATATCCCTAACACTGTGTTAAGACAACTTACTTTTAACTTCATTACAATAACCTAGTTTACTTAAGTACTAAGGCACCTTACATTCAACTTCATTACAATAAGCCAGTTTACTTAAATACTAAGACAACTTACATTCAACTTCATTAGAATAACTAAGCATACTTAATATTGTACTAAGACACCTTACATTCAACTTCATTAATGTAACTAAGTATGACAGGTCTTATTGGTATAATGCATAATGTATTAAGTCCTCTTCAAAATAAAAAATAGAGATACGCTTAAATCATTAAATATCTTATAGATAGATAGATCAGCATAATTTTATTGAACACACTAAATGTTATATTTTATGTGTATTAGTCGTAGCCTCTGCTGATGCACATAGATACAGATATAAGAGACATTACGTGATTATACCTAACTCAGTTTAAAGCCTAATAATTGATTTTGTAATGAAAGTGAATTATATATCTTTCTTTCGTGTCTTGTGACAGAAACACAGTATCACCACTGTACAGGTAAGATATTCGTGTTACCATGTCTCTCTCTATCAATCTATATCTATGAAGTAAGTCAAAAAGATAAATAATAGTATCTCATATAACTGGCAATAATCGATGTTCAATGAAAGGAAGTGACCATCATTTTCGAATTTCCCGTGTTCAAGAAGCTGTATGATGTTGATTTACTGGTAACTAGCACGATACAGAATCTACTTTGTTTCTGTTCTCTAGCATCTTGAAATATATAGTATTTATATTATTAGTTTTGAAAAAGCTGAGTCGTTATATTAGATTTCTCACTATTGGAAATTAGTATAGCATGTTGGTTATTCGCGCTGAAGGGGCTGTGTTATTCTGTTATTTTAATAGAAATGGAGAAGGGGATATAGCATTTATGTAATGTGGTGAAGGGGGTTATGTTGTTTTGCTAGTTTACTGGTAAAATGAAAGGGGATACAAAATTAATGTTACAAGTGCTGAAGGAACTGTATTGTTTAGCTAGTTTACTGGTAATAGGAAAGGGGATACAAAATTTATGTTACAAATGCTGAAGGAGCTGTATTGTTTAGCTAGTTTACTGGTAATAGGAAAGGGGATACAAAATTTATGTTACAAATGCTGAAGGAGCTGTATTGTTTAGTTAGTTTACTGATGATAGGAAAGGGAATATAAAATTTATGTTATACGAATTGAAGGGCTGAGTTGTTTCATTACTTGTTGTGTTAGTTTACTGGCAATAGGAAAGGGGAACTTATTATTTGAGTTCAAGGATGGAGTGTTTTGTTAGCTTTCTTGTAATTGGAAAGAGAATACGTTATTCATATTAAAGTGGGCTATGTTCTTGTGTTAGTTTATTGGTAACTGAAGTGTTTATGTGCTGTATTGAGTGGTATAATCTATATTTATGTGTTAGCTACAGTGTGTCCCAAAATAATTATAAATAGGATGTTTATTAAGATATATCTGAGTTTTATAATCCAAGTTAAAGAAGACAAGTGAAGAATATTTTGAGTTATCGCAGGTGTTCGAACTGATGACTGTTCTGGTCCAGGCACTGCTGATAACGATGACAGATGGAATTGCAAACATCACGAATCATTTAATTTGGTATTTTGGCACATTCTCTTTCAATTACTGCTTTCAACTCATTGACTGTTGCAGGTTTTGTGCTATAAACCTTATCTTTGAGGTATTCCCATAAAAGAAAAGTCTAGTGGTATTAAGTCTGGTGAACGTGGGGGGAATTCAATGCTACCTTTTCGCCCAATCCATCTGTTCGGCAGATTTTCGTCAAGATAGGGCCTCACGTCATGATGGTAGTGGGGAGGTGCTTCATCTTGCTTGAAATAAAACTCATCATCTTCCAATTGCTCTCGAATGAGTGGCGTGACGGATTCCTGCAGCAAGTTCAGATAAATAGCACCATTTTTTGGGACACCGTGTATTTGCGTGAAGCTGTATCTTCATGTTAATCAACTATCGTATAACTTATATTTTAGTCCTACTTCACTGTAGTAGAACCTGTATTTTTGTCCTATTTCATTGTGGTAGAACCTGGATTTTTGTACTATTCCAAAAGTAACCCGGAATGGGCATAGGTTTTTTGTTGTTAGTGGTGGTTTTTTGCTTGCCCACATACTTTACATTTATGATTACGTTTCATTAAAAACAACAACAACAGTGATTTTAAGGTGTTGCAAGGTCTTTCTGTAGAGTGTATATTAAGTTTATTTAAATAGCAATGTGTAACCCAAAATGCCCTGTTAATAAAATATGAAACAAAAACAGAACATGTTTTAGAGCAAGTTCAATCATGTGGATTTTATTAAACTTTGCAAGGGCTTTTTTAAATAGTTATACTTTATTTATTAGTATTTGCATGGCTGATATAACCATATGGGATATGGTATATAAATTATTTAACCTTTATCAAATATTTATTTTAGTAGGTCTTCAGAAACTGTACCTTAGAGATTAAGTGGTTAGACTTGAAATGCATTTCTCATGTTTTCGTACGGTGTAATCTAAAACCTTACCTTAACTGCATTTTTGTTTATTTTCAATTCAATAATATCCTTGTTTAACTTTTTTGTAACAGCAGCTTGTGTTTATACATATGTTAAAAACGTGGACATTTTCAGCCTTGGTTTTTCTTTAACAACGAGCTCGTATTTAACTTAGAAAACTCTGAAACAAAAAGTCAAATTTTGATCACTTTATTTTATAGTTTTAAGTATAAAAACAATGCTTGGTCACCAAATGTTTTATAACAATCACACAAATTTCTTAACTTTGTAAAAATATAGACATGTTTCGCTACAGTAATATCTGACAGTCACTAAATTTTTTTTTCTTAAATTGTGAACTGTTTTTGAAAATGGCGGATGATGAACTATCTTTTCTTGCAATGTCTTCTACAATGGCTGATTGCTATTCAGTAGCCTTTTAAAAAACACAACCATTCTATGCTTTACAATGTATTTGATCCCTTCTTCGCGTAATCTTAAGTTTGTACCCTAGAATTGGAGGTTCACGTTAAAGAACCTCACTAATTTGAGAGCTTTCATAAGGAAAGCCTTTTTCTTCAGGAGTTAAATGAGAATGTTTCCTGGGTAGTGATGTTATGGTTGCATATACTAAAAGTATCTGCACACATAGATTGCCCATAAAATGAAATACTTGTAACGTGAGCCAAGAGGACGAATTCGACTATACCCTTCTTCAAAAATTAAATTGTTTTTTTAAATTTTAGATTCTGATTCTACTATTGGACAATACGTTTAAATAATAGAAGCAAAACATAACAATAAAATAAAAGATGAACGTAATAATATGAAACATTTATTAAACGTTTCGGAATCTTCAAAATTCCATCTTCAGTAATCTAGAGCTTTTTCTGGTGGGCCGCCAAAAAAGTGGGTAAAAAAAAAAGATGTTGAGGTAATTTTAATTCTAAATAAACAATAAGCCGATAAAAAGTATGTTGAATTAATTAAATGTTACAGTATGTCAAAAGGAGATGTTATTGTTTTTACTACGGCACTGTTTTTCCATCACCATCCTAAAGTTATAGGTTTGGGGGCCTCAAACTTTTTTATTCACACCAAAGGAGACTCAAACTAAAAGAGTTTGGGAAACACTAATCTAGAGGTACCAAACAAACACAATTGTAATTACAATAGAAATATGATATAATTTGTAATACATAAGAAGTAAACAATTTGAATATAAAAAGTATGTAGTACAAATGAAATAATTAAATTAAAATTGATTTACTTTAAGTGAATAGTGTGTATTATTTATGGGCGGAAGAAGAGTTTTTATGTATAATGTTTATTTTATTAGAAGTTCAGCATCATGTTTAGCTGTTGAGAAAATTTTAAAGTTGGAGAGAGAAATCGGATGCCCTGTTTCTGTATTATGCTGGTAGATAGCGAAGTTGGGAAGGTTTGTAACCAGTTTTTATGGATATACCCATCTGTTCACATGTTCGTACCTTAAGGCGACACTTGGTTTCACCAACATAGGAGGCTCTATAGTCTCCGCACGTGTATAAGTAGTCGGCACACAATCTTTGTAGCGGAGAACATTTTGAGCCTGAAATTAGGTTTAAAAATAACTTTCAGGTCAATTTTGGGATGGTAAGTGTTACATAGTTTTTTCAACTGTTTTGTGATAAGAGAGCTCTGTCTTCCAAGATATGGTGAGCAGATGTATAAAAGAAGTTTTGGTACAGTGGGTATCTTAGGTGATTTGACAAACATATTAGTTAATAATGAGGAAGTTATTTTCTCCAAGAGATGCATGCTTAGGGTAGCCGTTTCGCAAAATAATGCTTTCTATGGAAGAGATTTCTTTGTGAAGGCCTAGATAAGAATAGGTAAGGTTGTATGCCCTTTTTAGTAGGCAGAGAATAAGATAGCCTTTGAAATAATATAAAGTTGTCAAACTGAGTGAAAATGCCAGTCACTGTGTTTTTACGATAGACAGAAGTTGTAAAACCGTTATCAAGAATGACCAGAAAAGAAATATAATTATTCGTCTCAGTTTCATGTGTGAATTGTATAGAGAGGTGTTGTGAATTAAGATAGTCACGAAAGCGTTGGATGTGATCACTATAGTGGAAAATATCATCAGCATACCTTTTGTAGAGAGATCAGGCTTGAAGCTTAAAGGACGGATGTTAATCCAGTTCTGTTTATTGCCTTATTAGAAGCAAAACACTAATTACAAAATTAAAATTAAAAGAGGGCAAAAACAAAAAAGTTGCAATGTTGTTTAAACAGTTTTTGTTGTTGTTGTTGTTTATTTTATGGAACAAGTTTTTATGATAATTCCACATCCGTTTATTTTCAGGCAGAAGCAGTGGCACCTTATGTACAACGTCTGCCTGTTGATACCTGTACGAAAGAGGTAAGTTTACGAATCTTACAAGAGTGACATTTTTAACATTTTTATATTTAGTTCGTAATAAATTCCCAACCATTCGACAGTGTAATACCACCTCGAATAGACTTATGGTTAGAGTAACATATCGAAAGCCATCTCGGGGCAATATATTCATACACGAATATTATGAAACAACATAGAACCAACTGACTCAACAGCTCCAAGAAGGAATTCTTCAAGATCCTCCACCAAAGTAGAATGGTTAGGGCAGGAACGCTCTTACAAACAAAACGAAGACTGTGGTTACGAAAGAAAACCCTCCAACGTATAAAGCTATTGCGATGAAAATTAGCAAATCTCGTGGCACCTTTAAGAAAATAATAAACAATAAAATTAATTGAAATTAGCGAAGATTCAGAATCCAAAAGTGTACTATTTTCCCACTACACCTCGAAATCAACGGTTGATTTCATTAGAAAGCCGAGAAAACTCAAATCACAACAATTCGCCCACATATCTGCCACTCCAATGAACTTTTGAGCTTAAACGTGATCTTCGAAACCTGCGTCCACATGTAATGGAGAGTCTATAGAAAGTTTTTCAAGATTATTGGTCTAAATTTGAACTCACAGTCTTTCAACTTTGCTTGTTACAAAAGGAGTTGCCGGAACCAGGCAACAATGCACAACCATGGCCATCAATAATGCACAAACATGGCCATCAGAGCGAACATAATCGACGGCGAAGGAAGTAATTCGAAAAGCAGCACAAGACCTGGAACATTATTTTAATAACATACGACTGATCCTAGATTACATATACAAGTCTATATATACATACTCTAGTACTATAATTTTGTTAATCAATTTATAATGTATAGCAAGATGGCAAATGTAGTTTTAATATTACATTGTGGCTCTTCTTCGCGTGCTCTCTTTTCAAAGTGTCTTTTGATGTTTACAGAAATTAAGATTATCTGTAGATAGAGATATATAATTAAGTAACTTACTCGAGTTTATTAGTGCACTGTCAGCACCATGATAGTAAAAATTATATTTTAAGATGTCATTAATTTCATATTTAAAAACGTGAATCAAACAAGTACTGTATGTATATATGGAATAACACTGCTGTGTCATACTGTTACAGACTTGTCGATTTCTGGAGCAAACCAATAGACGTGGATTAGCCATAACCGGAAGAGATTTCTTTGTGGTGAACAGAAAATTCCTATTGGCGGTAAGTAAAAATATCATTTTGTAAAGTATACTCCTAATGGTTGTAAGTGAAAATACTGTACTTTGAAATATTTTCTTATTGGTCCTCAAGTGCAGATAACTTTGCGATATTCTCAGGTGCAATAATAATCTTATAATTTAGAATAATAACCGCACCAACAAAAGAATTGACAGAAAAAGTTATGAAAAGTTACATTGTGTTTCCTATCTGACTGAACTAAAGGAAAATACTGGACAACTCGGCAGTTAAAAACAAGCAATTATTCATTAACATAAAGAAACACAATTTGACACATTTCACGAAATGACAGACAGTGCTACTCTCTAAAGACTGGAAAGAGCTCTGTAGCAGCAAAAACACAAATTGGAACAGACTGGAATAATAAACTACTATATAGAAAACACAAAAAGGTTACATCTCCCTGAGCACATGTGTACCCATGCCACTTTTGATCATCCCATAACTACAAAAATATAATATCGTTAAATCTCCAAAGATGACGCTCCTAGAGGTCATATTGTGTACTAAACCATGTAGTTCCGCAACACCATTTTCCAAGGGAGAAATACAGTGGGGCCAAATGGAAACGATGTATGACTAGGACAAGAGCAAGTTGGCCACAATCCAGAAACCAATTCTTAATTGTTAAATTTATACGTACACACACACATACGTTTGAAAAGTTTCGAAATTTTTAGGTGAGAAAAATCATCTACATAAACTTAAAGGAAAAGAAATACCTGATATACTTCATATACCACACCATTATATTTTTTATTGGCCTTAACGTTTTTTAAGATATTTGTTACTTACTGTGGGTAGATTTTCAAAGAAAGCTTTCCACCACTTTCTTTTCTTTAATTCTGAATATATTTGAGCTCTTTGCGATATATGGAATCTGAATTGCCTACTCTGAATTGCACTCATTCTAAGGCATCTAAATTCCCACAAAAACAAAAACAAGATAGTAAACACACATTTTCCCCATTTCACATCACAAGATCTAGTTCATTAAGCCTATAAATCGTTTTCTGCACAGTTTTTGTGAGTTCTGTTGCGGCATATCCAATCGTCATTGTCTTTGTTGTGCTCGAAATTTCACACAAATACTCATCAAATCTGTTGCAGGAGCTTGTCTGATGTGTAAAGGATGAGATAGCAGTAATAGTAGCAACAGTAGTTGTAGCAGACCAACATGATTAGCAGAAGTAGCAAGAGCAGTAGTAGTAATAGCAATAATAATAGTAGTAGCTGGAGCAGTAACAGAGGCAGTAGTGGCAATGATGGTAGTAGCAGTATTAGTGGAAGTAGCCGTAACACCAAGGCAACATCACTGGCATCACACAACAATACAATTTACAATAACAGTTATTACAAAAAATGATTTATAAACTAAAGTTTCACAAACTTACAAGCAATATAAAGTCTTCTTTCTAGTCTGGAACTTCTTCTATATCTTATCGAGGGTTCACGATGAGTGAGTTGATTACGCGTTGACGTAGGTATATTTCATTTAACGGGAAGCTAGCTAGCTTTGTCCTTCGTTATTCACCAGCCACACACGTCGAGTTTTCCACGATAAATTTATATAATGTTTTCGTAAAAATACTAATGTCCGATGAGAATCCACTGAAGTTAAATGATGTGTAATGTTCGAACTTTGTAAGGGTTCCTGGTAGAATATCTGAAGTTTTCCGATTGATAAGCGTTATTATAATCACAGTTATAGTTTCCAAAGTTTATAGCACACTGACTATAGCGAACTAATAATAGATACTCTCTTCTTTTTTTTTTTTTGGCGCGTCGCGTTGGTTATACTTGTAGCCGTGTGGAGGCTGTCTCGAATTTTCAGTTTTACGTAACAATACTGGCGCTAACACAAGCTTTTACGTACACATATATTGTTTATTCTTACTCTCGAGAATCTTCTACAACATTGAAGAATAGGCGGGAGTTTCACAATACATAATTAACAGTATAAGCTTTGAATATTTCTAAATATGCATTTAATCTAAACAAATGTTGATATTAAAATAAATATATAATAACAAATTCGTTACACTGAATAAATCGGGAATTAAGTTAGAAAAATTATGAACACACAAAAAAAACATTCTATTTGAAGTTACGAAGTGTCGGCATTAGTCACGTGTTTTTTGATATCAGCTGTAGTTCAAGTCGATTTTTCATGTGCGGTATTACATTGCATATCTTTGGTCAATCGAAATACTAATTGCTACTTAACTCAACATTTTAATGAAATCTGTTCTGTACGTTAGTTTGGCTAAGTTGTGACTGAAATTGATCTAAAATTAAATAAAGCAATACATAAACAACAACGTTTTTTTAAAGAACGTCAATGAAAAAACTCAGAAAAATAGATTAAGTAATTTTAACTTTCTAAAATATTATTAGTAAGAAACGTAATGTTTTCTTTTCAGTTTCTAGGGGCCGCTACAATTTTCTTGATTGTTCTTCTAAGCCTGTAAAGGGACACGTGGAATGAATGAGATAGAAAATGTTAAAGGATAGTCGCATTTTCACTGTACAGTTTGGAATAATTAGAAAGAGAAACACTTCACTAATTTTTATTCATATCTACAGTTTGATATAATTCATCACAATCTGCTTTAACAACGCGACGTGTGAATTGAGAAATTTCAACTTATATAAAACAGTAGTAAGTCTTGTGTCTATTATCTCACGATCTACATTTATGTGAAGCTTATTATGCACTGTCTAATATGGAGCTTCTTGTGCACTGTTTAAAATCACAGGTGCAAGGCTGAGAAAGGTATTTTTCAATTGAGCCAGTATTTGATATTTTTTGTAGGCTTAAGGGTTTTTTTTGGGGGGGGGGAATTAGTGTCCGTTAGATGGGTAAGCGTCAAATACTGGAAAATGGGAGTTATTGAATGAGTTCTCACTCCAGTAATCTAGCTAGCGCCAGTGATTTTAATATGAAGTCTCTCATGTACTATTTATTATGGATCTTATGTACTAATTAATGGAGTCTGTTATAAATTGTTTAATTTGATGATATTTAATATTTATTGCTTGAACTTGAAGTGCATCCTATTATACATTGTTTAAAGTGAGACATATGTTTACATAATGTGCAGCGTATCATGCACTCATCTTAATGTGTGGTCTATTAATATTATGTACTACTTAACTTGAACCTTATTACTGAGTGCTTAAAGCTTAGGGATTCCTTTATTGCACTCATGTACAATGTGTTTGATAGAACAACATATTTGTTCACGACAAAGATTTGTTAGACGTGTGTATTTATGTCATTTAATGATGTCGATCCTAAAAACGTAGTAACTGATAAAATATATTAAGAAGAAAAGGGAAAATAATTTGGATACAGTGCAACTGTGTAAGGTATCAATTTTGACGGATGAAAAATTACTAGTTGTTTTAAAGTGCAAAAAGTAATAACATGAAAATGTTCGAAACGGTTTGCGGAAATACTATTATCACATTCTACCTGAAGATGGTTGGCGTGAACCAACCGATACTTGTAGATTTTAATATATTTGTGCTTTTAGATATTATTTATCATGAAGTTTCCATTTACTTTTCACTTTTACCAGAAATAGTTTTCACCCTTAAACATGATAAAACAAACTGTCTGGATATAGAAGGTTATTATTGTTCAGAATATTTTAGATATTATTATATATATATTTTTTTGTTAATTGTTGGTCTGACCACATTAAGATATTTTGACAGTACAGGAATCCCTCGATTAGTGCGGTTAATGTGTTCTTTAAAAGAGCCGCACTAATCGAATATAATAACTTATAGGAAATCATGTAATTCGTACCTCAGTTTTCATTCTCATTCACAATTAATTTCTATCTTGCGTATATTTTAATCAAAGTATAGGTATATACACTCTCTGAGTGTCCAAATTTATAAGATCCTTATTGGTTAATTCTTCTGAATGAGCTTCTGGCAATTCTTGCACATTTTCATCGTCAATCTCAGCGAAGCCAAGTTCTTTTCCAATACGAGTAATCTCATTAACGACCTCTTCTCTATCTTTTGAAAAGTCTGTGACGTCCTGTGCACAGTGTGGAAGAACTGTCTTCCAAACACCTTGTATAATTTTAACTG